GTGTGTGTCTGGTCCCCCTGCCCCAGGTGTGAGGCGAGGGATTAGTGCAGAGTCTGCCTTTCATGGTGAAATAGTTACTTAACGGTGGTGTCCCAAAGAGGCAGACCTCTCTCTCTCTCTCTCCCTCTCTCTCTTTCTCTGTCTCTCTCTCTCCCCTTCCCCCCCTCCTTCTCTCCCTCCCTCCCTCCCTCCCTCAGAAGAACTCTGCCTTCCTCCTTGAGCCTTGCCCAAGTGGTTCCAATTATAGCCTGTATTTTATTTTTTTATGTGTTTTTATTGATTTCAGAGAGGACGGGAGAGGGAGAGAGAGATAGAAACATCAATGATGAGAGAGAATCATTGGTTGGCTGACTCCTGCACGCCCGACACGAAATTGAGCCAGAAACCCAGGCATGTGCCCAGACAGAGAATCGAACCGTGACCTCCTGGTTCCCAGGTTGATGCTCAACCACTGAGCCACATCAGCCAGTCTAGCCTGTATTTTAAAAATAACACAATTCTTTTTAAAGAAACATCCACATGTACCGACATGAAAGAGATGGAGCTGCCCACTGCATGGGGAAGAGCCCTGAGAAGAGCAGGGTGGGGTCTGCGGCTCAGGCCTGCTCGTGCCTGTGACTGGGACAGGCCAGCCTTACGTCCCTGTGTTCTGGATGCTGACATCGGAGGGCTGGAGACTGCCCAGCAAAGAAGGCATCACAGGCAACATGGCTCTGAGCGGCCTCAGGCCAGAGAGACAGAAAGCTTCCCCTCTCCTGCCCTCCCCCGCTCCCTACCCCCTGCCTGCCCCACCCCTTCCTTCCCCACTCCCCACAGGGCTGCCACCCCGCAGGGCAGGGCTGTATGGACAGCCAGGCTCTGTGCGGGGCCGGGTGAGTGCCACTCAGGCCTGGGCGCCTTTCTTGCTGAGGGAGAGGCACTGAGTGGTGGTTTCTCCCAGGTCCAGGGTTTCGCATCTCTGTTGGCAAATATCACATGTGAAAGCTTTTGTTCAGGGGTTGATCTGTCAAATGGGCGTTGGTGTTGAAGCTGCTTTACCCTGATCCAGTGAATACGTGCTCAAAGCTATTACAGATCCGCAGCTGAGACAAAAGCACTGTGAGACAAACTTACCCTTATGGTGTGATGATATCTGATATCTTAATTTCATTCTGCTCCATTTCATTCTTTTTTTTTTTTTCATTAGAGAGAGAGAGAGAGAGAGATCAAGCTGTTACCTCCCGTATGCACCCCTACTAGGGATTGAACCCCAAACCTGGAATGTATCCTGACTGGGAATCGAACCTGCCATCTTTCGGGTGTGCGGGACCACGCTCAGCCAAGTGAGCCACACTGGCAGGGCCATTTCATTTTTTTGTGTGTTTTGTTAATCCTCAGCCGAGAATATTTTTTCCATTGATTTTAGAGAGAGTGGAAGGGGAGAGACAGAGAGAGGGCGAAACATTGATGAAGAGACACATCGATTGGTTGCCTACTGCATACGCCTGACCGGAGCCAGGGATCCAGCCTGCAATCAAGGTACGTGCCCAGGTTTCAGGTTCAATCCCCAGTCGGGGTGCATAGGGGAGGTAGCAGATCTCTCTCTCTCTCTCTCTCTCTCCCTCTCATGAAAAAAAAAAGAGAATGAAATGGAGCAGAATGAAATTAAGATATCAGATATCATCACACCATAAGGGTAAGTTTGTCTCACAGCGCTTTTGTCTCAGCTGTGGATCTGTAATGGCTTTGACCACGTATGCCCTGGATCAGGGTGAAGCAGCTTCAACACCTTCGGCTTATGCCCATTTGACAGACCAACCCCCAAACAAAAGCTTTCACATGTGATATTTGCCAACGGAGACGCGAAACCCTGGACCTGGGAGAAACCACCACTCAGTGCCTCTCCCTCAGCAAGAAAGGTGCCCAGGCCTGAGTGGCACTCACCCGGCCCCGCACAGAGCCTGGCTGTCCATACAGCCCTGCCCTGCGGGGTGGCAGCCCTGTGGGGGAAGTGGGGAAGGCAGGGGTGGGGCAGGCAGGTGGTTAGCGGGGGAGGGCAGGAGAGGGGAAGCTTTCTGTCGCTCTGGGCCTGGTGCCGCTCGGAGCCATGTTCTGAGGACGGGCCCCATGCTGCCTGTGATGCCTTCTTTGCTGGGCGGTCTCCAGCCCTTCGATGTCAGCATCTGGAACGCAGGGATGTGAGGCTGGCCTGTCCCAGTCACACAGCCACAAGCGGGCCTGAGCCGCAGACCCCACCCTGCTCTTCTCAGGGCTCTTCCCCACGCAGTGGGCAGCTCCATCTCCTTCATATCGGTACATGTGGACACCATCCCATTCCCACCGCTGCACACTGGCATTCTCAGCTGGGAAATGGGCGGGGGGGGGGGGGGGGCTTGCTAGAAGGTGCTGAAGTTGTCAGGGATGAAGGGGAGCCCAGGGCAGGCAAGAGCTGCTCAATAGCAGCAGGATGGCCCGAGCTGGTTTGGCTCAGTGGATAGAGTGTCGGCCTGAGGACTGAAAGGCCTGGGTTCGATTCCCATCAGGGCACATGCCCAGGTTGTGGGCTCGATCCCCAGTAGGGGGCATGCAGGAGGAGCCGATCCATGATTCTTTCTCATCATTGATGTTTCTTTCTTTCTTTCTCTCTCTCCCTCTCCCATCCTCTCTGAAATCAATACAAATATATTTTTTAAAAAGCAGCAGGACGGCCAGGCAGCGGATGAGGTGGCCGTGTCCAGCAGAGGGAGGTGACAGCCCTTGGCCCCGGCCCGTGTGCTCTCCGGCCCCTGCTCTGGTAGGGCCTCTGCCCAAGAGGGTTTGAGACCGGAGCCCAGGGGCCCGTTTTTCAGAGCATGTGCCAGGGTGAAGCCCCCTCGCATGAGAGGGCAGAGCCTCGGGGCGGGGGGGCCGGGGGGGGGGAGCAGGTCAAGAATGGCATTCCAGCCCTGACTCCAGGGGGTCCAGGTAAAGATGCCCGAGCTCAGAGTCACAGCCTCAAATACACTCTTGAGGGGCAGGGTCCATGTCTCTGCTCTCTCCCTTCCCAAGGACCCACAGCCCTGCCCACCCCGTTTACCCCTCAGTGCACCATGCATCTGAGAGCCTGGGGCACGCTCCTCCCCACCGCGCATTAGCCTGGCGGTGGCTAATGCTTCAGCAGCCGCTCGCCTCACTAATGGCAGGGGAACCGACCATCCCCATCCCCCCACCCTCCTCCACCCCCGGCTGAGTGCTCTGCCTGCCCACCTCTGCCCTGCTTGGGCAAGAAGCCCGGCGCTGCCCCACAGCCACGCTCACCACACTGCCCTTGGCTCCCGCTCCCGTTTGCCCTCTGCCAAGGGCGTGGGCCTCTGCTGTGGGGCTGGCATCTTATTTGGCCCATCATTGCACCTGGTCCCTGTGTGAGAAGCCGGGGAAGCACAGAGTTGCCTTATTTCACTTGGGGAGCCAGTCGAACTCCGAAGTGAATGCTGCTGGGGAAGAAGCCGGGTGCCCCGAGGTTGAGGGGCGGAGACTGGCTGCTGGGCCTGGAGACCCTGTTCTGGCGCCGGTGCCCCCGGACTGCCCGGCCCCTGCCAGCTCAGCCATGCCTTCTGCCACCACCGCCCCGGCCTCAGTGGTGTTGTCCCTCCACACTGTGCTGGCCGGTACCCAGGCCGGAGAACAGGCGGGCTATGTGGGTCTCGGAGCCCATCAGCCTGTCACCCCCTACAAAAGTGACTTTGCTTTTGAGGCTGAAATCATTCTAACACAAGCTCCTATACCACCTACCAGGAGGTTATGGCCTCTGGAGAATACCTGCCCCACCCCTACCACCATTCTCTCTGAGTATTTCCCAGAAAACTCTCCAAGTAAGGCCCTTCCTCCAGCCTCTGCCCCGCCCCTTACCAATGATCAGCGAGACGGCCACAGGCCACATGCCCACTTGTGTGGGCATAGCTCTCTCCACTGAGGACCACGAATGCCCCCACTTGCTCTAGAGAGGGAATGCGATCCCTGATTGGCCCCAGCATGAGCAGGCCCGGCTATGACTCAGAGCTGAATCTCCCTCAAAGCTCAGAGTCAACCCAAATCCAGAACTCTTAGTTCACTCGGCCTCAGCCTGACCTTAGGGCACTACCTAGTTCTTGCCTGTGCCCCCTCCCCCATTCCCTGGAACTGGAAGGTGGGCCGGAGGGGGGCTGGGAGGAGGAGGAGGAAGGAAGTCACAGCTCAACTCTCACCAACGGGAACTCTTGCCCCTCCTCTTGCCCCTCCACAGTTGAGCAGTTGGGCCCAGAGGGGACCTCCTTGCCCAGTTTTAAGGCCCCACCCCAGGATGTGTGCCTTTCCCCATGATTGGCTAATAGAACATCCATTTCCTGACATAAAAACGCTACCCACAGCTACCCACAGAGTGTGGTCTGGCCGAGACCAGGCCAGCTTAGGGAAAGAGCAACAAATACCCCTGTGGCTGAAACAGACTTTATGTGCTACCACCTTAAAGCGTGTTTCCATGCGTTCACAAAGCATGTGCCCAGCGCCTTCCAAGTGCCAGGCGACAGGTCTGGGAATGGAGAGATGGCCCAGAGGTGGCACGTTCAGGGGGCCTGAGTCCCACTGCAGAGGCCCGTGGCTCTAGGCGACTCCATGCCCACGTGTACACACACCCCGGTATTTAGTTATTAGGTAGCTCAGCATCGTAGACAGCGGCGATGGCAAAGGGACAAGAAATTCAATCAGGCAGCTCTGGACTGAATTGCAGCTCTGTCGCCTCTTGCTGTGTGATGGGAAGTTCACCATACCCTCCATGCCTCACTGTCCTTCTATGGGTGAGGGTGTTGTCCTGAATCAGGGGTCAGTGCCTGCAATCTTCCTCTAGGCAGTGATGGTGAACCTTTTGAGCTCAGCGTGTCAGCATTTTGAAAAACCCTAACTTAACTCTGGTGCCGTGTCACATATAGAAATTTTTTGATATTTGCAACCATAGTAAAACAATGACTTATATTTTTGATGTTTATTTTATATATTTAAACGCCATTTAACAAAGAAAAATCAACCAAAAAAATGAGTTTGCGTGTCACCTCTGACACACGTGTCATAGGTTCTCCATCACTGCTCTAGGGTGTCCCCTCGGAGCTTCCTGCAGAGAGACCTACGCAGTGGGCCCTCCATGGTTGCTTGTCTCCCGCGTAAGCCCACTGAGAATGACTGACCGAAGGGGCAGGCGTCTCCCTGTGAAGTCCTCCTGGGAAGCAGAGGAGGGAGGCAAAGTCAGAAGTAAAAGGGGGGGTACCCCATCCCCACCAGCTGCCATCCCAGGGCACCCAGCCTAAGGCCAGCTACATTTGCATGTTATTTACATAAATTTGCATGAGCACAGTATTCACATGTCTTATAGCCAATTATTTTATTCAGGCATCTCTGCATCCAGGAAAGGGCACCAGCAGAGATGTGGCCCCCTGGGCTTCCTGTCAAGAGGGCATCCAGGGCCCCCACTCAGCCCCAACAGGAACCAGTCTCCCTCGGGCCTGCACCTCCCATCCCCCACCCCACCTTAAAGAGTGTCTCCATGCATTCACAACCCATGTGCCCAGCGCCTTCCAAGTGCCAGGCCCTGCCCTAAACCCCCCTTAGGAGCTACTGCCACTGCCGTTGACCACCACCAGGGAAGGCCGGGTCTTGGCAACTCCAATTGTCCCCCACTCCTGAGCGCCCTAATTTAACCAGATTAGTCTCTTAGATGTGGAGGCCTGGATGTCACAGGCAAGAGATATGACCTTGGATAATGGGCCTTTCCACCCCAGGTGAGAGGCCTGCGGGCAGGCCTACTCTGAGCTTGTCAGGTGAGCATGGGGCTCCTTTTTCATCCACAAACAGAACCTTGAAGATCTACCTGGCATTCCACAGACCTGCTTCCAGGCTTTAAGAATATCAGGTGGACAAACCTGTGAGAGGCTGGGAACAGTTTGCTAAGACAAGAGCAGAGCAAGGGTGCCGGAGACCAATTCCAGCATGTCATAATTTTAAGAGTTTCATCAAAAGGTTGATGAGACTTGGGGACTCAACAGGGTTGAGTCACACATGTAGTCACCTGTTGGGAATGGCTAAAGGCATTTCTCCAAACCTGAATAGGAAACTGATTGTGGCTGCCAGACAGTTAAAGGGCACCTTAATCTACATGTTATTGCCTCCTACTGGCCAAACACCTGAACAGCCTAGGCTATTCCCCCATTCTGACAATGGACTCTGTACCCTTTGAAACCTTACCCTTTGAAGTGTATTATCTCCACCTTGCCTTAGGACAAATTGTGTTAATAAAAGCAAGGGTCCTAGACAAGGAGGGAGTCTTCAGTTCCTTTAGCTGAAGGTCCTCTGATCCCCAATGCCTTTCAAAATTATATCTTGTCTCCGGACTCTTTATTAGTCTCTGGATTTCTATGTCATCTACATGCAGCCCCTTTTCCAGATTCCTGAACCCTTCTTGATGCTGGGACATGAACCCCGGCATAAATGGACCCCCGAAGTGGGACAAGAACACCAACGATACAAGGGGGATGGGCTGGGTACAGAAACTCACCAGGGCGGAAAGCCCTGGATACTTAGCAAGGGGCAAAACTGGGAAAGCAAGAACCTGGCCCCAGGGTAAGCTATCCTCCCCTAGCACAGTTTGGAGCCCTGATCTTGCATATCACTGGTCATGGGATTTAGACCCTTGATCTTTTCCTTCCTGAAGATAATATCTAGGCCTCAGTTGTATGTCAGCTCCAGGCCCAGAAAAGCAGCAAAACCAGACAAGTGACACTGTGGCTGCCTCAGGCCCAGCTTCTTTGACTAATGACCCTCTGCCCTGGCACTGACCAATCAGTGGAGACCATGACCCTGAAAGAGCACACCTGGAAAGCTCATGAATATTAATACCCCCCCCCCAAGAGCTCCACCTGCAAGAGAGAGATAAATATGCTCAAGGCAAAGGACCCAGTGTGCACTCTCCCTCCAAGGAGCACACCCGGGCCATTTCCCCACAGGCGCGAATCCCCCCACCTCTCAGGGACCCCAGGAGACTTGCAACCGGGGAGGCAATGAGCAGCAGCAGCTGGGTTCGGGCTAATTCCCGCAACCTGTCTCCAAGGCCCCCTCTTCTCTGACTTCCCAGTCTCTCTCCACTAGCCCGCTCCTCGCTTGGAGTGTATCTTCAACAAATCCCACTTTGCTTTACTTTCATTTTCATTGGCCTTAAGATCTTTTCAGTGTCGATGAGAAGAACCGAAGTCCCAGCCGGTAACCCCATCAGGAAGGAACAAGCTGGTGGGACCTCGGTAGGCAGGGCAGGGCTGCACTGTGAGAAGCATTTGGGAAAAAGGTCCCCTGGTTCATCTGGTCACACACAGCACTGCTCAGCCCTTGCCCCAAGCTAGCTCTAGTCCTTTGCACCAAGAGCGCCGTCACTGGAGGGATGTTGGCCACTACTCACAGGAGCCCTCCACCCGGTGAGGCAGGGGAAGCAAAAGAGGAGTCAGCTTCAAACCCTAGCTCTGCCACTTCCTCACAGCGTGATGCTAAGCAAGCACATTCCTTATCTGAAAAATGGGGATGATCCCATTCACCTGGCAGGGTCTGGGGGGCCCAAAGCAGGTAATGTGAACAGGGCACAGTGCTTGCCTCAAGGTGAGACGTCAACAAATGTCACTTCCCTACCCTCACCTCTGTTGGGGAGGGAAAATTATCCTCTACCTTCAGGGTTCCTCTGGCTGGACTAACATCAAATGAACACAAGACAGACTAGCAGTAGAAAAACAAAGTTTACATATGAAACCTGACATGCTCAGGGAGGCCTGCGTGGTGGCCTTACAAACTCTGAGGCCTAAAGTAATCACAAAGTTTGAAATTTAAACTTTTTTAACTAAAAGCAGCTTAGTGTGGGTAGTCATGTTCTAGGCTGGTATCTTCCCTGAAAAAGGTCAATCTTTACCTTAACTATTGTCTTTTGCATCTATGACAACATTCCTATGGAATGTCAGGGTAACCCCCCTTTTTCCAGACCCCCACTGGGTACAACAACCCAGTGGAGCCCATAAATCCTCTCATTGTTTTATCATGTTAATTGTTAACTGTCTTTTACCCACCTGTGTAAAAGAGGTATGTGTCTATGTCTGGTGCAAGTTCCTCAGCCAGGGACTTGACCCCTCCAGGTGCAGGGAATTGGAAGAGCACATGAATGACCACAGGTAGGTGGGACATGCTTTATTATGAACAAAGCAGCAACAACTGGCTGGTCAGTGGCACCTTATACATGCGCTCAAACAAAAGAGGCCTCCTGCCAATTCGTTTTGTCCGTGCTACATTAACATAAGCAGGTTATTTCAGGGTGCGCCTGCTCAGTAGGGATAGTGGTACGGCTGAGTCATTGCCTGCACGCATGCATATGGAGAGTTGGCCTTTAACCTTCGGCATACTCTGGTCAGGGCCCCCACAGTCTATCATTTTACTTTGTATCCAATCCCAGAGGTTTCCCCCGTGCTTTCTCCTGCCTCCCTAATCTATCACCAATGGATTTCATGCAACCCATTTACGTTACGTCTCCCCCTTTGATGGAAATGTATAAAACAAGGTGAGAAACTGCCATTCTCTGGCGCATTATCCCAATACGTTGAGATTCTGCTTTCCAGCAATTGTGGACAGTTTGGCTCAAATAAACTCACAAAAATTCTTCCCATTTTCTAATGTTTCTTACGCTAACAAGTTTAATAACATGTATACCTCCTATGCACATGGGAGTGTCTAAAGCCATCATCTGAAATACCACCTTCAGCTAAAGACAAAAGCTGATGCTGGGGTGGAGAGTCCGTTGTGGGAGGTAACCAGGAAAAACAGTGACCAAGGGTAAGGGTGCCACTGGGTTCCAGTGCAGGCCTGGCTGGGAGGCAGAGCCCCTTACCAGTGAGATTCCCCTTACAAATGTAAGTGTCATTTACAAAGGGTAATTCTTGATTTTCAGAGCCTCTCCCATGTCTGCAGTTTCTTAAATTACCCAGCCTCAAATAACCACTACCCCCAAAGAAGCATATTTTGGGGTGGCGAACTGCTCCCCTTCACCTCCCCTTGGGAGCCAAGACCCAGGAAACAGAATTGTGCAAGTTCAAACATCCCCAGGCCTGGAGGGGAGGTGTGTGAACCAGTTTGTTTGCACATAGTCGGAGGCCACTGACCCCACCTGTGCTGGGCGATGCCGTGACCCTCCTGACCTTAAGCAGCCTTAACTGAGTCCACAGTCCACGCTGTGCTGAGTGAGCGCTGGCCGCCCAGCCTGGGCCCAGCGGCAGAAGGAGCTGCACATGGAGAGATGGCAGCTGAAGCCCCTGGTGAACAGGACCCTTCCCTAGGCTGTGGAGAGTCCCCCAGCACTAAGGACCCCCAATCAGGTGAGATGGGCACTAAGGTGCAGGAGGGAAGCTGGGAGGGACACAGTATAAGCGCCCCAAGTTGTTACTGGTAAAGTTGAAACCTTGGTTCTTTTTGTTTTCTTTAATGTTTTTATTGATTTTAGAGAGAGGAAGGGAGAGGGGGAGAGAGAGAAACATTGATCTGCTGCCTCCTGAACACCCCTTACTGGGGATCGAACCCACAACCCAGGCATATGCCCCAACTAGGAATCAAACCAGAAACCTCTGGGTACATGGGACTATACTCAAGCAACTGAGCCCAGGGCAAAAGTGTCCTTGGTTAGGGAAGAGGATTTGGGGGTTTACTAGATGGCTGTAAACTGCTTGGCCATGTAACTATGCTTGTCCTGGCTGATTAGTGTCTCAAAGTAACCTCTAGCTGGTTGGTTTTTCTTTTCTCCTAAGTCAGGGTAGAAGTTCCAGGACACATCCTTCTCCCAACCCCTCCATCCTCTTCTCAAACAAAATCCAACAGAGGACATGCCATGACCTGGCTCTTACCATGAAAGGGTGATGGTCACCCAGGAGCGAGGGCTTGCTGCTGTAGCACACAGACGTTTCCAAATCATCTGACTCAAACAATGTGCTGTTTCTAAAAGCAACTTATGGTCGCTTATAATGAAAAGCTTAACAATAAGGCCAATAGTACACTAGACACAAAAAGCATGGACCAGAGGAAAATAAAGTAGAATGTAAATACAGTTGACAAGGTTAATCCAGCCATGAATATGGGTCTGAGTATCATAGTAGCCATGGTAAAAAGGGAAATAAGATCAGTTATTGGAAAGGAGTAAGCATGCTAGCCTTTTATTTTCTCCTCGAAGCTTTGTATAGCAGGCACTGAGTGAAGGACAGAGTCATTTACTCCATATCTATAAAAATTCAGAAGCAGCCTGGCCAGGTAGCTCAGTTGGTTGGAGCATCATCCTGATATGCCAAGGTTGTGGGTTTGATCCCCAGTCAGGGCACATACAAGAATCAAACCAATGAATGCATAAATAAGTGGAATAGCAAAATCAATTTTAAAAAATTTAAATTCAGAAGCAGATTAAACAAGTCTGCTTGGCTCACAAGGACCATTAAGAAAACAAAGAGTATGAGCAATATTGAAGCGCAACCCCGTGAGGAGGAGTGTGGCCCAGTACCGATTTCTGTCTTGGCCTAGGTGTGCAAGGAGCTGGGTGTTCCCTCGATTGCACTGTAGACCAGCGTTTCTCAAATTTTCATGTGCACAGTCTCTGGCAGTTCCTGTTAAAATGTGGCTCTGATTCAGGAGGTCTAGGGTGGGCCTAAGACTTGGCAATTTAAAACCCTCCCCGGCCATCACGTGCACCACACTGGGAGCACGGGGCTGAGGCCCAGACTTCTGGAGTCGGTGCCTTTGCACTCCCCCAGCTGAAAAGCAATGCTAGGCCCCCCCACACACAGGAAGGACCTGCTCTTGAGCTCACTCAGTGCTCGCTGGGGGTGCTGGGCCAGCTTCCTACATTCCCATTGGCCACTGATGGCCTAGTCACAAGCCAAGACACTTGATCTCACACAAAAAGTCATGAAGTACTGTGGATAAGAAAAAGGGGGGGAAAGAGGGATTCTGTAGAAGTAACTCCAAAGGGTGATCTGATCATACAGGTCCTGGTGGTAAGTCATGCCCTAGGCTTGTAACTTCCCTAGTAAAAGGTTATCCTGGCCTTAAGCAAACCCTGCCCATTGTTCGTGCATCTAAGTTAACACACCTTTGAGAAGCTTCTTTTCAGAGCCCTCAAGCAAACCCCCACCCTCAAGAGAACACAGAATCTTGTTAACTCTCCTGTAATCCAATCCCTGCCTTGCTGTCTCCCATCTGCATGGAATCTTCCTTAGTTCCAAATGCAGAAAAGCAGCTGCAAGCTGTCTTTCTCAGAAGCATTTTCTCTGTCTCTTCCTGTCTTGTTTCCAGGAAGATCCTCTGTGTGGCTCAAATGAATTGTTATAACATTTCTGTGTGGGCGTGGACTTTCTTACACTGACATACCCACTATGTGCCAGGGAGCAGAGCTCCCCACCCTCAGTCCTTTACCCACCCTCCACTCTAACAGCTGCCTTCAGAGCCTTCTCCACACTTGTGCTGGATCTCCTCGACCAGCATTTCTCAAACTGCCATGTGCACACAGTCTCTGGCAATGCCTGTTCAAATGTTGCTTCTAAGATAACATACCTCTGAAATGTCAGAGGGGGAGGGGCTCCTTTTCCAGACTCCTTAGGGCACAACCTCCCACCAAAACAGGAGACATGGCTCCCAGTCCGCTGAGCTCAGAGAATGTTTCCTCTTGGGAGAGTTCATGTTTCAGCTGAGGACCAGACAGAGGGCAGCCTTATGCCAAGCTAGATTACCAACCTCAGGTGCAGGGAGATTGATGTAGGGGTGGGTACATCTCAGTGCCCTGTCTCAAAATAAGGTGCCATGTGAGAACAGAGTCTGTAGATAAATCCCAGGCCCCAAGCACACCTGTGCCAGCTTGCTTTCCAGTCAGTGCCCCTCCCTCACAGGCCATCCCCGTTGCTCACATGCCTGAGCTCTGGGAGTTTCTGACCTGACTTAACCCACTGAGTCATCGCGGTGGCAGACAACCCTCCATTTGCCCAAATCACCCTCAAGACCCACCCTGACAAGCTCAGGGGAGACCTGCATGGTGGCCTTACAAACTCAGAGACCTAAAATAACCACACAGTATGGTCTGAACATAAAAGGAAAGGGGGTGGGGGAGGTAGAAGAGGATAAAGGGGGGATAAACGGTGACGGAAGGGGACTTGACTTTGGGTGGTAACACAATACAATATACAGATGATGTATTAGAGAATTGTACTCTTGAAGCCTATATAATTTTATTAACCAGCTAGAGGCCCAGTGCACGAATTCATGCATGGGTGAGGTCCTGCCAGCCCAGCTCCAATCAGTGGATCGGGGCCAGGCCTGTCAGGAGGAGGAGGCGGCGGGAGGTTGGCCAGCTGGCCTGCCTTGATCAGGGCACTATCAGGGCCAGGCCAGCTGGTGGGAGGGGCCGAGGGCCATTGGCCGGCCAGTCCCGCCCCCAATTGGGGTGGGGAGGTCAATTGGGGATGGGGCTGGCTGTGGGGAGGGGCTATGGGTGGTGGGCCGGCCATCCCTGCCCCCGAATAGAGTGGGGAGGCCGATCGGGGGCCAGCAGCCTGGGTACGGGGCCATCGGTGGTTGGCTGGCAGGCCCTGCCCCTGATCAGAGTAGGGGGGCTGATCAGGGGAGGAACTGACTAAGAGGGGGCCCATCTGGGATGGGGCCAGCCAGGGGGAGGGGCTAAAAGAGGTTGGCTGGCCATCCCCACCCCCATTGGGGTAGGGGGGCAATCAGGGCCAGGGCCGGCCAGGGGGAGGGGCTTCGGGTGGATGGGGGAGGGGGACCAGCTAGGATGAAGGGCCACAGAGGGGGGGGGGGGGGGGGGGGGCAGCCGCCCCACCCTCGATCAGGGTGGGAGAGACCGATTGGGGTGGGGCTGCTGGTGGGAGAGGCCATGGGAGGTTGGCCTGCCTGCCCTACCCCTGTTTGGGCTGGTTCACTGGCCACAGTGGGAGTATCATAGTGACCAGTCATTACGGTTGTTCCAGTGTTCCGGTTGCTGGCTTTTTATATATATAGATGTCACTCCAATAAATTCAATAAAATTAATAAAAATTTCTAACTAGAATCAAGCCATGGCAGGGACACATCTTAGGCCTGTAGCTTCCTTGACAAAGGTCAGTCTTGACCTTAACTGAGCCTGCCTACTGTCTTTTTGCATCTAAGGTAACATACCTTTGAAATGTCAGAGTAATCTCCTTTTCCAGACTCCTTAGTGCATAACCTCCCACCAAAACAGGAGACCACAGACTCCTCATTGTTATCTGTTCCCTGCATAGCATCTCTATGTGCTGTAAATGTCACCCATTCTGTACCCAGCAATGTAGATGTGTCTCTCTGTCTGACTCTTCATCCAATCCCAGCAATTTCCCCCTTTGCTTTCTCCCTTCCCCTAATGTACCACCGATGGAGTTCATGTAATCCCCTGCATCTCCTCTGACTCTAATGTATAAAATAAGCTCCAAAACTGCCATTCTCCAGAGTGTTTCCTGTCTGTAAGCACACATGCAATGGGGCCGTGCTGCCTGTCACTACTTGAGCCAATTAAGCAGGGACAGGGTCAAATCGTATATGAGCACTTATTCCAATACTCTTGGCAGAAGGTTATCCACAAAAATCTGCTCTTCAGCCCCCCATAAGCCAGCTGCTTATATAGGGTAGGACACAGATTCCATGGGGAAGTAGCGATTATGGGCATGGGGGAAGCAGGCTGTGCAGGCTGGGGTGGGACCCCATTATTTGGGCAACAAAGTTGTTAATCTTTCCATGATAATAGGCAGTTCTTTAAACAATTTTTTTTTTTATTGATTTTTCATAGAGGAAGGGAGAGGGAGAGAGAGATAGAAACATCAATGATGAGAGAAAATCACTTATCGGTTTCTTCCTGCATGCCCCCTACTGGGGATCAAGCCTGCAACCTGGGCATGTGCCCCTGACTAGAATTGAACCTGGAACCCTTCAGTCCACAGGCGAAAATAGGCAGTTTTTGAATGAGAAGGGACCACATTCCCAGGTCCAAGGTTGACTCCCAGGTCCTGGGGGTGTACAACACCCAGCCAGGTTAAAATGTCCCTTTTTTTTTTTAGAGCGAGTGGAAGAGAGAGGGAAAGACACAGAGAAATATTAATGTGAAACACATCAATTGGCTGTCTCCTACAAGAGCCCCGACCAGGACCTGGGCCGGGGAGGAGCCTGCAACCAAGATACGTGCCCTTGACCGGAATCGAACCCGGAACCCTTGGGTGCAACGCTCTATCCACGGAGCCAAACCAGCTTGAATGTCCTTTCTTTAACCAGTACAAGGCAATCATGGTTAACAAAACATGATTAATATTTCCCATCACCATAGCTAACCCCTAATATTCTATTTTTGCCCCCTCACAAGTCCATTGAGATTTTGCCTTCTGACAATTTTCAGTTTGGCTCAGATAAACTCATAAAAAATTCTCTGTGGTTCTTACATGGAGAAATGGCAGCCCCACTCCCTCCTCACATAGGGGAGCAGCTCCCTGTGCCCAAATTTGGAGGCGTCTCCCCATGTTCGGGTGAGAGAAGAGGTGAGCACAGGCGAGGCTGCTGCCCTGGCTGGCTCTCAGGGCCTGGCTCCCGGCCAGCGCTGTCAGAGTGCATCAGGGCACACCGCTTCTCCTGGCCATCGCGCTTTAATAGTCAGTTAGAATATTTATTTTGTAAAATGGATGTGCGGCCTATAAATGTTGCATCAATCTGAGCAGCTGAGCAGGAACAACAGCCCTCTTCCCTCTGACCCGAGTAGGACGTGACCCTAGATTCTCATCCGGGATGCGTCTGTCCTCTTAACCAAAGGCTACCCTCCTGTTTAGGAGACGGAAATCTCAGGAGGTGGCAGCCACGGGCGCCCTAAAGAGAATACCCAGCAACTCCGGTGCGGACATGCATCAGAGGGACTAGTACACTGGGCACTCCTCAGTCCCCAGCACCCTACCAGCTCTGGGGCAGGCAGGGGAGGAGGCCAGAGGTAGGCAGGAGCCATGGGGGGAGTTTCTCAGAGATGCTGAAGAAGGGCAGGGTTGGGAGTGCATTCATCCAACAGCTATTCACTGAGCACCTACTTATGTGCCAGGCACTGGGAGTACAGAAGTAAATGAGACAGAAAAACTGCCTGCCCTGCAAGAGCTCACATTTCCATGAGAGAAAACACTTCCTGTGCCTGGGGTGTGATTGCCCCCCTGGACCTGCCCAGTTAAGAATGTATCACCAGATCACCTGAGGTTACTTTTCTCACGGCTTCTGCCAGGTCATCTTTCCAATCTCCCTCTCCAGCTCCCGGGGCGCCCCACAAAGAAGCCTACCAGATCTCTTGGGGAGAATGCTGGTAGATCCAGGGATCCTTCCAAAAATGCTGGCAGATTTTAGCACTTCCATTTTCCAGGTTCTGTGTCCTGTGCCACCCGTTGCGGTTGCAGGAAGGATGCTCGCAGATCCCCATCAGCTACAGCAAGTATGTGGAGAGCACCTACTCCATGCAGGGCCCCATGCTAGGGGCACCAAAGGGGGCGAGAAACTGGTTTCTGTCTTCTTCAACTTTACAATTCATTGCAGAGGCAACTCACCATCCAAAGGCAGGGACCGGGCAATGGGCACCCGTGTCCCCAGCACTTGGGACACTGTGTGGCATTGAGGGCTCCCTCAGTGTTGAATGGATCAAGGACCTATAAGCCAGAGAGGGCGATGCCCTGGGGCAGGGTGGAGCAGGAGGGTCCCGGAAGAAGACAGGAGAGGATCTGGGCCCTGGGCCCAGGCAGAAGAGAGGGCTGGGAAGGGGGGATATTTTAACAGGAGGAAACCCATGGAGGCAGGAAAGCACTAGCTGTTCATGGGTGGGTCTCGGTGGGGAAGCGGGGGAGGGGAGGCCCCTCCCAGCAGCATTCCCACCACAGGGCTGTGAGAATGCTGCCTCTTCGTTGAGGCCCAGCCCTGCTGCCTCTGCCTCGGGGTTCAGATAATCCCTGTTAGGGCTTATCTCTCCAGCACAGGTTGGCTTCCTGGAGTCCTTTGAAGGTCTTTACCAGGGGCTGGTGGACTATGCCCCCAGCAATATTCCAGCGAGAGTCCCTGTCAGCCTCCTAGAGGAGTGGCCTTGGTGCCCAACTTCTCCCTCCCAGCCGTGTTCTCTGGCGGGGAGAGGAAGAGCTGCCAGTAGCACCCTGATGTGAGGTCCTGGGTGAGATGGGCGTCCGATGAAGAAGGCACAAACCTCTAGGAAGCACCCACGAGATGCCCGCTTCGTGCCTGTCGTGCTGCCTTCAGCTTGGGGACGGAGGCCGTGGAGGGAGGTGTTTGGGGTCCCCGAGTCCAGACCGAGGCAAGCTGCAAAGTGCCCCGCAGCTCCCAGAGGCCCAAGCACCTGGACACCCGGGACTATTGGCCCTAAGGGTGGACAAGGGACAGAGATGGGCAGGACCACCAAGGCCTGCGCGCAGAAGGAAGCAGGGCCCAGCTGGCACGTTGGCTTCTTACCCCTGTGCCAGCCGAAAGCCGCTGTGGACCAGCCGTGGATCTGAGTGTCCCTGAGAGTAAGGGGCGGGTCTCAGAAGTCACGGCCTCCAGGACTCCCTCGTCCTGGTTAACAGGCGGTTGGTTCCCGAGTCCTGCGCACTTCACGGGGGAGAGAAGGGGCAAATCGGGAGGCTGCGGGACGGCCCCGAATACTGGGCGAGGGGGAAGGGTCGCGGTTGCCGCCGCCGCCGCCCCGGGCAGCGGGTCCAGCGCGGAGAGGGGACAGGCCATTGAGCCACCGCACCTGGGAGGTGGCCGGCCGGATAAGCGGCAGCCAGGGCGGGCGGGCAGGCGGGCGGGGCGCGGGCAGGAGGAGGAGCCTGGGCCGGGCGCCGCCTCCATCCCGGATCCTTCAGCTGCTGCTGGGAGCAGCGGGCGGAGAGGTGAGTGACCCGTGCCCTGGACGGTCGCCGGCCGCGGGTTGCCCCCTGCCCGGAGCCCGCGACCCGGCGCTGCCCCTGTGCCCCCTGTGACTGCGGCCGCCGGGACCCCCCACGACCTGGGTGCCACGCCGCGCGCCCGCCTTCCGCCGAGCCGCGTGCGCCGCGGGGGTGGCAGGTCCGGTGCCCCGCGCCGGGGGCGGGGCCGGGGGCTGGCGGGGCGACTGTCCAGGTGGCCGGTCCCTGTTCCCGCTGTCTGGTCGCCGCCTCAGGGAGGGCCGGGCTGGGGGCCGGGGCCGGGGCCGGGGCCCGGGGGCCGGCTTCCCCGCCGGGGCTTCCCGGCTGCTGCCCTGGCCGGGGAGGCGCGGGTCCCAGGCCCCGACCTTGGTGGGACGAGGCCGGAGCCCTTGGCCAGCACTCACCTGTCCTGTGCGTGTCCCTGAAATCGGGGTGGGCTGCCCAGAGAGGTGGTTGGAACCTGGGGCGCTCATGAAGGGAAGACACGGCGTGCGAAGCTAGCACAGGGGTTGGCGAAAGTAGGTCTGCAGTTGTAATACAAACAACACAATAATAAGTAATACAACAGTAAACTTTCGGGTACTCTGCCTCAGGGTTCAGATAACCCCTGACCGGGTCCTCCTGGGCGGGGCCGGCTGAGCCCTGTGGGTTGAGCCCTCCATGAAATCTCTTTCCAGCATCTGCACCAGGAATGGGCCTCGATTTAAAACAGACACTCGCCAGTTTAAGTAGTTTTAAGGACCTAAGGCCAAGCTGGCTCTTTTCCTCCCTCTTGGGGTTTGGAGGGCTGAGTGCCTTTTTGCCCACCCGAATGTTGTTCAGGGGCAAGAGGCGGGATCAGAGCCTGGCAGAGGGCACTGAGAGGCCTCCCAGGGGCCAGGCCACCTCCGGGACAGGCTCCAGAAGTGGGGGCTCTGACACCCCCCACCAGGGAAGTATGTCTGTCCATCAGCATGCAGTAATGATATAATGAATAGTAGACAGTTATTTTGCATCTATCTGTGCCGGCAGACTGCTTTGCACACGGCCCCAGTTCATCCTCAGGGCGGGAAGGCACCATTATTCCCCAGTTAAGGATGGGGAACTGGAGCCTCGCAGAGCATGGGCGTTTTGCAGGGATACACAGGGAGCGAGGTGTAGAGGAAGACGGTTCAAAGCCCGACTTGGGAGCCCAGAGGAGCCTACCTGTAGGAAAGAGACATGTTCTTAGTATTGTGGCAGCCCAAACGATGCAAGTGCTGGAGGCCAGAGTTTTCACAAGACCAAATTTCTCACCTGGGTGTGTCCCTCAGTCACCTGCAAGGTCTGTTAAAAGTACAGATGCTTAGTCCGGCCAGCATGGCTCGGTGGTTGGGCGTCAACCTGTGAACCAAGAGGTCACGGTTCAATTCCTGGTCAGGGCATATGCCCAGGTTGTGGGCTTGATCCCCAGTGTGGGGTGTGCAGGAGGCAGCGAATCAATGATTCTCTTTCATCATTGATGTTCCTATCCCTCTCTCCCTCTCCCTTCCTCTCTGAAATAAAGTATGTGTGTGTGTGTGTGTGTATATATATATATATATATATATATATATATATATATATATATATCTTAAAAAAAATACAGATGCCTGGTCCCACGAATCCCAATCAGCAGGGTGCACCCCCAGCCCCACACCCAGTCAAGTTCACCTGGGGAGCTGGGACCTGTTTTACTGATCTCTATGCCCATCTCCATCCCCAGTGGCCTGCGAGGGGCTGGCATGAAGCATGTGCTTAATCAGTATCTGATGGATGAGTGGACGTAATGGGGTTGGGGGGGGGGGGGAGCGTAGAGAAGGTTTCCTGAAGGAGGCCTTAAATGGTGGGCACTGGCCTCAGAGCTGTCAGTGCTGAGCTCCCCGGGACCTGGCCTGCTCACACTGGGACCACATCTCCAGCCTGGAGATGCCAAACATGTGGCTTCCTCTCCTGTCCATGTTATCCGTCCTTGCCCCATTGCGCTTCCCTCCCTGGATTTATCCATTATTGGGCAGGGCTCCGGGTAGTTAAAAAGTGAAAGTGAATGACCAAAGTCCACAGCTGCGCACCTCGGTGGTAGAAGCAGCTGAACTGACTGTAGGGACGGGCTCCTGGCTTTGGGATCACATGGACCCAGTCTGAATCCCCACAGCTCTTTGCCTTGTGATGACCTGGGCAGTCCTCAGCCCTGAACTTGTTTCTTCATCTGTGAAACCTTGCTAAGGGTTTTGCACCTGATATTCCTATAAATAGGGTACAATATTGCCTGCCTGTGAAGGACAATGAGTTTAGGAGTACAATATCAGGTACTTCCCCCCTGCCCCCTCTCCGGGGACCTTCCAGACTCATCATTCTCCTGGTCTGAACCCCTCAGTTCACTAGAGAAGGTGACTAAGGCCCAGAGAATGGCCTCCATTGCCCCCTTCTCTGTTGCAGAGCTGGCCTCAGGCCCAGCCTCAGGCCCTGTTCAGTGTCCTGGCCTAGGCTCCCACACTGGGAGAAGCCTGCCTCCTCCTCATAGAACCTCAGCAGTCTGGGGTGGTGTGCAGGTCGGCTGGGGTAGCGGAACAGGCTGTGCAGTAACATCCAGGCTCCCTGGGCCGCACCTGAGACTAGATCTACCTTTTCTGCCCTCCCCACCAAGCACAGTGGCCGGTCTTCCTGGGCGGGGCTGGCTGAGCCCTGTAGGTTGAGCACTCCATGAAATTGCTTTCCAGCATCTGCACCAGGAATGGGCCTCGATTTAAAACAGAAACACTCGCCAGTTTAAGTAGTTTTAAGAGCCTAAGGCCAAGCTGGCTCTTTTCCTCCCTCTTGGGGTTTGGAGGGGTGAGTGCCTCTATTCCCCCCACACACTCTGCCCTCGCCAACCCCGTCCCATTCCAGGAGGATGCGAGCCAGGATTCAAAACCAGAGGCAGCGGTTTTCAAAGGTTCCGCTAGAGAAGTCGCACTTCCTGCCACAGCAGGGCCCACCTTCATGTCCAACTTGACCTCCTACCAATCTGAGGCCCCTGCATGTCAGCCCTTCACATCCTCGTCATGCCCCCTCCTGCAGGAACCACGGTACCGCTTCCATCTTCATCATCACTGAACATAAGCTTCCCGCGTGCCAGGCCCTGGGCCAAGCATGCTATACGTGTGAGCACATTCAAATCTTCCGATTCTTAAGGCATAGATAGTGTTCTCCCAGCTATTTAACTTTCCTGAGAACACACGGAACTCCAAGCCATTCTTTAGACCCCAAACGTGTGACTCCTAACCATTACCTGTATATCCTTGTCCAAATTCTGTCTCATCATTTACTCATTTAACAAATGTCTACTGAGCCCCAAGAGCTGGCTGAGTCCCACTTCTGGCAGGATGAGCGTCGGTTGTCATGTATGACCCTGTGAAATCCCACGCCCCCCACTTTTTTCTAAATACAAGTGTGGGAGCTCCACTGAGGCCCAGGTCCCCAGCTGATGTGAGGCAGGATTCACAACCAGAGACAGCTCCCTGCTGAGCTGGAGCTATTGACCCCTGGGCTGCTCTCAGGGCTCCATCGGTGACAGGTGATTTATGCAAGATCGTGCACTCCTGAATTGTCACTTCAACCCAGGGCTCAACTCTTCCCAATCAGTGTGTCCTCATAAATCACCGTTGTCACCTCGCAGAACGTGCAACAGGTGACACTAATTGTCCTGCAATCACGCAGCAGCTTATTCTTGTCTTCCTCTTCCGCTTCATGAGAGCCAGGTGGGATCTAAGCAAACAGTGCATTTTTTAAGCCTCCTGGCGCTATCAGATCAGGAGATTAAACTAAAACATCGCCCCAAGAGCATAAAGTCAGTCACAGGTGAATGTAATGTGGGGACTGGCGAATGTGCCCACTAAGCTTCCTGGGTGGAGTGGACGCCCAGTTTCTGTGTAGACAGCAGGTCCCAAAGATGGTGTGCTGGCATCTGATGGAGTGACCCTTCAGCTGTTGCCATAGCAACCGATGCTTGTGGTGGCCGAGGGCCTGTGCTAAGGCTTTCTGGATGACCAGGCCTGCACATGGGTCAGTAGTTGTACACTGGACGCAGCGAGTGGGGGTGAGGGTCCATCATCATCTTCAGCAAATCAACTGCAGCCTGGGTGGGGCTGAGCAGCGCAGGTGAGACCCAGCCCTCTGTGCTGGTCCATGCAGACAGCTCCAGACTGGCCAAAATGTGTGGCACTTGGCACTGGAAGGGAAGGAGCAGGACAGTGCAGGCCTGGGCAGCCGGGATGGTAATGGGCGTTAGGGTGCTTCCCCCCGCCCTCTGGCCTTCCAGGATGGGGAGGTTAGAGGCTGGAGGTTGGAGACCTGAGCACACTCTGCTCTTGTGAGTTCTTGCATAGCTGCTTTCTGTCCTCCCATAGCTTCTACAACTCTTCTTGAACATTCTGATCTGGCCTGGCTGTCTGTGGGAGGGGAATGGGGTTCCCAGGATTGAGGAGAGCTCAGGGCACAGCTAAAGGCTCAGTGAGAACCTCAGGGACAGATCGCAGCTGACCTGGACGACCCCAGGGACCGTGGGGGTGCCCTCGGAGCTCCTGCCCACCACCTGGAGGGTTTGCTTCCAGAGGAAGTGTGGCTCCTGACAGGACGGTTCTCCAAGGGGCTTAGACCCCTGAGCTTTGATAGGAGCAGAGTGTCCATGTTCACTGCCTGAGCCCGTGGGCCCAGCGGGCATCGATCGACCTCCCAGTGAACAGAGTGCGCTGTGTGGTTCTGTGCAGACAGGTGTGGCGGGCCCGCAGCTCCCTGCGCTCCTGGAGCTTAGAGTCTAATTGGAAAGCTGAAATGTGAGCATGCTCAGAGCAGAGCACAGCAACTGTGAAAACAAGGGAGTTCTAAGGTGTGGCTTTGGGGGCTTTCGAGTTCACTGTTTTACTTAATCATCCTGACAGAGAAGGAGTAACCTGCCCAGTCTCAGGGCTGGTACATGGCCGAACCCGAATTCAAACCCACGTCTGTCTCACTAGATCCACCAACGAACACAGCTGCTTCTCCGACTTCAGACGGGGAGAGCTGCTGTGGGGCGGCGGGGGCTGGGAGCACCTACCTGCCCAAGGCCCTTCGGGGCAGGGGGATTTGGATGGCCAGGAGGATGCCAAGACGCCAGGCGGAGGTAACAGTGTTGGCAGAAGTGGGGAGCAGCAGGGGCCGGAGGAGGGGGTGGAAGATGAGCTAAGGGGCATCAGTCTGCATGTAGGACAGCGCTGGACTCCAGGGGATCAAGCATCTCGGCCCACAGGAGGCTTCTGTCCAGCAGAAGAGCTACCCTGGCCACAGCGATCACCCATGCGGGCCCTGTTCTGTTAATGACAGAGGAAACCTGTCTGGAGCCTGTGGTATATATTCTGGTTATCAAATGCCCAGGGTTACTCAGAGCTACAATTTTCCAAGATCACCAGTTTTCAAACAAGTTGAAAACAATCGAATACTTGTCCTGAGACTGAAGTTGGCATAATTTGTGTTAATGATAGAGAAGCCTCCAAACCGCTGGCCTCCCTGTGCTGTGGGCGTGGCCTCCAGTCCAGTGGGAAAGCCCTCAGCAGCGGGCAGGTGCCCAGGCCGCTCTGCCCTGGGACAGTGGTGGCCTGTCGGTCT